TAGGTCAGTGATGGCGAACCTTTTGAGCTCGGCGTGTCAGCATTTTGAAAAACCCTAACTTAACTCTGGTGCCGTGTCACATATAGAAATTTTTTGATATTTGCAACCATAGTAAAACAAAGATTTATATTTTTGATATTTATTTTATATATTTAAATGCCATTTAACAAAGAAAAATCAACCAAAAAAATGAGTTCGCGTGTCACCTCTGACACGCGTGTCATAGGTTTGCCATCACTGGTCTAGCCTAAGGTTCATGTGCTATTGGGAAGAATATATATTCTATTGTTGGGTGAAGTGTTCTGTAGATGTCTACTAGGTCTGTCTGTTTATACTACTCAAGTATTTTATTTCCTTGTTATCTTCCTATTTGTTCTGTCCATTATTGAAAGTTGGGTACTGAAGTCTCAAACTATTAATACTGAATTGTCTTTTTTCTCTTTTCAATTTGGATAGTTTTTGCTTCATATATTTTGGTGCTCTACTGTTACATGCAATTATGTGTATAACTGTTCTATCTTTTTGATGTATTGACCCTTATATCCTCATAAAAATCTTCTCTTTGTCTCTAGAAACATAAATTAAGATGATATAGAATATAACAAGAAAATTTACATTATAAGTAAACAAGAAATTTGTTCACTGAAAATTTAGGGAACAGTGCTTCCACCATGACCCAGAACTCTTGAGGTCTTTAACTAAGGAAGGTATTCGCTTATCCAAAAACTTCTCCTCCGGTCTTCTAAAGGCAAATTACTTTGCCTTTCTTTTCAGGTTAGAATCGTTGGAAGTTTTACTCTTGCTCTATTCTATCACCTCCCCCTCCCCCCCTCCATAAAATCCTATTTTTGTAATGTTTACTAGCTAGTTCTAAATTTTTAAGACTTTAGCATACTCAATACCACAATATGTGATTTAGACCTAATTCTTAATGATGGCCTTAATGATGAGACTCATTATAATTATTTGAAGATTCCATTATCTTGTAGCCAATGTTTCCAGAATCCTAGCACCAAGACCCTGACAGTATTTATGAGATGATTTATATAGTCTAATTCCAAACTATGATCAATAGTATCAGATTTAAAGATTACATGTTCTACTTATTTTATCAGATTATACACAGTACTTCTAACTTACTTCTAGAGGTTAACCATAGGAAGATACTTTCCACCTATGATGATTAACAAAAGTTAATTTCCATTAACCCTAAGGAAGGAATTTTTTAAACAGTGACTTCCACAAGTGTACTGAAAATGTGACTCATTATTTTTAAAAGTATGCAGACAGCTTGTGTAGGATATTTCTCTAAATGACAGCAACACCCCTATCTTCCATTGCTGGTTTCAAGCCTCTCTTCAAAAAAGAGATGTTGGGGGCTTTCCTCAATGTCTGGAGGTCTAGCTATCTGTTTACATTAAAGAGTTATGACCTGTAAACCCTGTATGCAATAGCAGTTTATTTTAACTAGTGGAATTCATCAAAGGGTGACCTGGTAGCGAGACAGCTTTTTCATAATGGGCCCCTGAAAATCTCTATTTATAGGTCTTTCTCTATGTCCACTCAATGTCTCCAGAGCTTTTAACTTTGTATCAGAAAATATATGTCTGGTTGACAGGCATTCTGCAAACAGGGTTAGAGAAGGGAGCTAGGGATTGCATCTTTCAGTATGTAAACTTACATTTAGTCCCTGGCTACCAGATTTCTTGGAGATAAGCAGAATAGTGATACTCTTAGATTTCAATAATCAATAGGTACATTTCCACTTAATCACTTTATTGATAGACTGATATACCTATCTTTTGCTGTGCCAGGTATTCCTGAATCTAACTCTTCAGTTCAATTTCTACAGGAAATAAGCTTCCATTCTCCTTTGCAAAATGTAGGTGTGGTAGTTGAGTATACTATGTGGAATGGAAGACTAGATCTGTTGAGTTTTACAACTTCTTTCAATAATTTTTCCAATATGCAAACAAAATATTTTTCTATTTAAACAGATTCATTGTGAAATTAAAATGCAATTGGGAAAAAACCATCCCAAATTAAACGTTTAATTCCATAAAAATACATAAATCTACATGATTCAATAAGGTTCAACAATGTAGTCCAAAGTTATAAGAAAACTTTGTAATAAGCTAGTATTTTGTAAAATTGGGAGGGAGCTAGGTTATAAGGAAAAAGTAGAGAGCCATGATGAAACTAAGAAATAAAAAGGAAAAGTGGGGTGGGGTGGGAGAGAAGCATTACATTTTAGTGCCAATATTCAGATGGAATATACTAATATGATATTTGAAATAGAAAAGTATTCCCATGCATGTAAAAGTTGTTTGTTTTTTTTCTTAATCCTCACCCGAGGATATTTTTTCCATTGATTTTTAAAGAGAGTGGAGGGAGGGAGGGAGAGAAACAGAGAAAGAAACATCGATGTCAGAGAGACACATCGATTGGTTGCTTTCTGCAGGTGCTCTATCAGGACCAGGGACCGAGCCTGCAACTGAGGTATGTGCCCCTGACCGTAATCGAACCCAAGACTCTTCATTCCACGGGCCAATGCTCCAACCACTGAGCCAAACCAGCCAGGGCCACCCATACAACAGTTTTAAAAAATTATTTGAAAACATTACACAGCTACAGATTACTTCATAGTCTTTCATAACTTCAGCAAAAATAAGCACAATTAGAGTTAACTTATTTTTTTCCACAAAGGCTTATTTGTAACTTTAAAAAATTTTAGGCATCCACTCTAGCTTTTTATTAGGACATGTCAAAACAGAACACTGACTATTAATCACAGGTTTCTGGTGTTTAAGATTCTACATATGAGTGATGCCATGTGGTATTTGTTTTTAGCTTAGTTCTCTTAGCACAAAGCCCTTTAGGTTGGCAACTGTCACAAAACAGAGGTTTCTAATGAACAATTCAGAATTCCATCTAATGAGTTAGCTATTCTAAATAAAAAAAGGATCAATTAATAAACTGGTATATGAAATAAACCACTTTGTTCCTGGTCTATAAACAATTGTGCCGTGAAATCAGAGCTATTACAATAATTTTCTTTTAATAACACTGATTATATACTTTTCAACACCAGTTTATCAAGTGGAGAGAAAAAAAGGGAGTTCCCCCTCAACCCCAAGAAACATTTTCAGTTCTAGAAAATGATTCTACCAAATAACACTGCAATAAGTGGGCCATTGTCTGGAATTTAGAATGAGTCTTTGTTAGATAATTAGGAGCCATTATTATTTAAAGTAAGAATATGTCTTTTTTCACAAGAAACTTTCATTTCCTTTTAAAAAAATTACTCACTGAGGGCTCTGGTTAGAGTCCGATTCCCTGTCAAAGACTTGTACCAGGGTTGCAAGTTCTATCCCTGGCCACAGTTGGGGGTACCAATTGATGTGCCCCTCTCACACAGATGTTTTTCACTCTCTCTTTCCTCCCACCTCCATCCTTCCCTTCCACTCTCTCTAAAAACCAATAAAAAGAATACCCTTAGGTGAGGATTAATAAAATAAAACAAAACAAAAAAATAGCCAAAAAGTCATTTAGATAATTATTCTTGTTATATAATTAGTGATTATATAACTTTAGAAAGTGCACTTTATCCAGCGGAGGGAGGAAAATGTACTACTTACATTTTTCCTTATTGCCATTGGTATTATGCAAGAAGTCTCCATCAGAACGCGTTGTAGGAAAGTCATCTTCATCATCTTCTACCACTAAATAAAATATATTTAAGGATATTAGGATGAAAGAAAATAGAAATTAACCAATTTATTCTTAGGTTCAATTGAGTCAATACATTCTTGATTCTTTTGAGTGCAAGATCTAATTCATTTTTGTATTTTCAGTGCTTATTAAAGTATGCCCAACAAATATGCTATAGAATTTAATACATTATTATAAAAACTGTACCCATTCTGCCCTAACCGGTTTGGCTCAGTGGATAGAGCGTCAGCCTGCGGACTCAAGGGTCCCAGGTTCGATTCCGGTCAAGGGCATGTACCTTGGTTGCAGGCACATCCCCAGTGGGGAGTGTGCAGGAGGCAGCTGATTGATGTTTCTCTCTCATCGATGTTTCTGACTCTCTATCCCTCTCCCTTCCTCTCTGTAAAAAAGCAATAAAATATATATAAAAAAAACCAAACAAACAAACTGTACACATTCTCATTTGTGTAAGGGATGGTATTAAGATATGAGTTATTTTGCCCTTTAGTCTTCCTACCTACCTTGGGGCAATTTCATAATTCCATCAGAAGCCTATAATGGCTGAGCAGGACTGTAAAAGGATAACTTCCATGCAGAAAATACCTTAGCTTGCTTCTGGGAGTTCCTAAATTTACCATTTCTAAACATGCAGGAAAAATATAATGATTTACAGGTGTGATTATTGATTTTCATTCATCCCAGTGTGTCTGTGCCTAGAAATCCTTTTAACTTATCCAATTCTATAAAGATCAAAATCCTGTGTTCTCCTGTTTATCTCTTTGTTCTATTCACTTTTTTTTTTTTTACTGCCTAACATACTTTAACCTTCTGCACTATATATTCCACTTTTTTTTTCTTTTTAATGTATTTTATTGATTTCAGAGAGGAAGGGAGAGGGAGGGAGGGAGGGAGAGAGAGAGAGAGAGAGAGAGAGAGAGAGAGAGAGACACATCAATGATGAAAGAGAATCACTGATAGGCTGCCTCCTGCATGCCCCCTACTGGGGATAGAGCCCGAAACCCAGACATGTGCCCTGACCAGGAACGATACTAGTACTGTGACCTCCTGGTTCATAGGTCAACCCTCAACCACTAAACCACACTAGCCAGGCTATATATTCCACTCTTAATGTAAATTTCTAAACCTCAGCCCCCAATCTATTCTCTGCTTTCTATCAAGTGCTCTTAGTAAGGCTTCTTTATTGTATTATCTTTTCAGAAACACTCTTTTTGTAGAAATAATCTTCACTCTAAACTGTTGTACTTCTTGACTTTATCTCTTTACAAGGAGTAGCTCATCCATTTTAGTTGTTTTCCCAATAGATGTAAAGCCCATTCCTATTCCTTATTCCCTCCCTTGACTAAATGGTAGAAATCACCATGGAGAATACCTTTATTCTGTATTGCCATTTCTAACTAGGGGGCTATTTCATTTTTTTATAATTACTGGGCTAGTTCATCACTTCAAAATTTTGCTACTCATCTATAACAACTTTTTTAAACCATAAGCTGCTATTATCTACTAACACTTATTATTCAGCCAACTGATACCAATATCTGACACTGTTTTTTCCTAGTCCATCATTCCTATAGACTTCAATATCCATAATGAAGCCTCTGCAGATACCTAAATCTCAAGATTAATCAAATCCCAAATTCTGTGGATCGTTATTGTCTCATCATTTGTAAATATGGTCAATTCTAGAAATTCATTAACAGCACATTGCTGTTTTTAAATCAGTACTCATCATCAGACAAGATTCTGATCCTGGACTCCACCAAGATGGCGGCATAGGTAAACACCGGAGACTGCTGCCGCAAACAACCACTTCAAAAATACAACTAAAAGACGGAACGGACATCACCCAGAACCACAGGAAGGCTGGCTGAGGAGAGACTCTTCAACTAGAAGGAAAAATAACAGCACACCGAGGCTCAGAGGAGGCGCAGTGTGGAAAAAACTCAGGTGCGGAGGTGCGCGCGCAAAGCGGGCTGGTGGCTGAGAGCGCGGTTGTCGTTTTCGGTCAGGGGGGAGTCTCAGACTCTGAGCTCCAGATACGGGCGAATCGCTGGGGACTCGGACCCAAACGGGAGAAGCGGGAGTGTCTGGCATCAGTTGGAAGGCAGCTTTCCCTCCGAGGTTTGCAGCGGTTCCGGGGGTTCTGAGAAGCAGAGCCTCTGGGAACAGGACTGAGGGCACCATAACGGCTCCCTCCGCCCGCCCTGCCCTGTTGATCCCGCCCCGCCCAAGCCCTGCACAGAGCCATTTGCCGGTTTGCCTCAGGCAAAGGCTAGATTAGCACCTCCCCAGAGGACAGAAGTTTTCAGCGGCAGACACAGCTGATTCACACAGCCAGTCGGCCTGGTGGTCAAATCCCTCTAGTATTAACTACAACAATCAAGGCTCAACTAGAACAAGACTGCGCACAAAGACCACTAGGGGGTGCACCAAGAAAGCATAAAAAATGCGGAGACAAAAAAACATGACAGAAATGGAGGATATAGAGCTAAAAAACGCAATTTTGAGGGCTTGCAATAAACTTCTGGAGAGCCTCACGAAAACTAATGAGACCCTCGATGCTATGATAAAGAAACAACTAGAAATTAAGCATACACGGTCGGAAATAAAGAATATTACACCCAATAGCAGACCAGAGGAGCGCAAGAATCAAGCCAAAGATTTGAAATGCGAAGAAGCAAAAAACACCCAACCGGAAAAGCAAAATGAAAAAAGAATCCGAAAATACGAAGATAGTGTAAGGAGCCTCTGGGACAGCTTCAAGCGTACCAACATCAGAATAATAGGGGTGCCAGAAGATGAGAGACAGCAAGATATTGAAAACCTATTTGAAGAAATAATGGCAGAAAACTTCCCCCACCTGGTGAAAGAAATGGACTTACAGGTCCAAGAAGCGCAGAGAACCCCAAACAAAAGGAATCCAAAGAGGACCACACCAAGACACATCATAATTAAAATGCCAAGAGCAAAAGACAAAGAGAGAATCTTAAAAGCAGCAAGAGAAAGAGACTCAATTACCTACAAGGGAATACCCATACGACTGTCAGCTGATTTCTCAACAGAAACTTTGCAGGCCAGAAGGGAATGGCAAGAAATATTCAAAGTGATGAATACCAAGAACCTACAACCAAGATTACTTTATCCAGCAAAGCTATCATTCAGAATTGAAGGTCAGATAAAGAGCTTCACAGATAAGGAAAAGCTAAAGGAGTTCATCACCACTAAACCAGTATTATACGAAATGCTGAAAGGTATCCTTTAAGAAGAGGAAGAAGAAAAAGGTAAAGATACAAATTGTGAACAACAAACATGCATCTATCAACAAGTGAATCTAAGAATCAAGTGAATAAATAATCTGATGTACAGAATGAACTGGTGATTATAATGAATCAGGGACATAGAAAGGGAATGGACTGACTATTCTTGGGGGGGAAAGGGGAATGGGAGATGCGGGAAGAAACTGGCTGATCCTGATCTTGACTCACTACTACTCTGATTAACTGCTCTTAACCATCTGTACGCTATAAGCGTCTATAGACGCAAGTGGCAGACCTTTTTAAATTAAATTCAAAATATCGTGGCAGTTAACTGGTTAAACACTGAAAGGCTTGCACTTCACTCATATCATCATTAGTATCTTCTTTGGATTACTGAAGATTCACTTTCATGTCCCTAACTACCCGAAAGCTTGTACCACCAAACAGGGATTTTCAACCTTGTTTTTCGAGCCCAATACTCAATATATAAAACTGATGAAAACAAGAGTCTCTCTGGCTAAAGACTGGCCTTTCCCCTTTCTTTTTAACCAAGTAATACTTTGTCCATTCTTGAGGCACCTTTAAGGGATATCAGACATGCCACTGTTCTAATATAAATCCCCTATCTCAATCAGATCAGTTTCCCTTACCAACACAAACTGATTATGCTAAATTCCATCTCTGGATATTACACATTCCTGCTTTCTGTATCCCTGCAATAACCCAAATTAATTACATTAATAATACCAGCTATTATTTGTTTTTGTTTTTTGCTGTTAAGCACAGTGCTAACAAATATAATTCTTATTTTAATTGTCACAATTGTATGTGCTGGATATAACATCTATTTTACAGTCAAGGAAACAGATATGAAGAAATGTTTCCTCAATGAATAGAGTATTTCCTTTAATGTGATACGTCTTATTTTACAATCAAGCAGTATGTTTAGGTTAAAGATAATGTCTTCAACTTCTGTAATCCCAGAGTACCTAAGACCTAAAGGGTTAATTAAATCTTACTGAAGAATGTGTGGGAGTGGTGGAGGTCAAGGTTAAGATGGCCTTACTAGCAATTCTGATAAAACATTTTATATGAAAAAAACTGATGATCACCTAAAATAAAGAGAATTTGCTATTACCATTTCAATGACACATTTACTGAAGAACAGGAATTCTTAAAATTCACACACTTGATAATTTAATGAAAGTGCACCTATAGAGATCCCTAAGACATAGGTCAGCATCTCTGATCTACAATCAAAATAGAAAACTAAGGTCCATGTCCTTATTTTGCCTTTATACAACATGTATTCTTAAAACTGTCAATATTTCTAAAAAGAGCAATTACAGAAAAAACAATTGTTATAGGCAGAATTGTGTACCCCTAAAATCCATATGTCAAAGTCCTAACTCCCCCATAGCTCAGAATGTGAATGTATTTGGAGACAGTGACTTTATGGACGTAATCAAGTTAAAATGAGATCATTAGGGTAGGCCCTGATCCAATATGACTGAAGTCCTTATTAGAGGAAGAAATTTGGACACAGAAGAAAGATGACATAAAGACCCAGGGAGAAGACGAACATCTATAAGCCAAGGATAGAGGACTCAAACAGTTCCTTCCCTCATGGCCCTCAGAGGGAACTAACCTTGCCAACAACTTGATCTCAGACTTTCAGCCTCCAGAACTGTAAGAAAATTAATTTCTGTTGTTTAAGCCACCCAGGCTGTGGTACTAATGCAGTAGTCTACCACTGTTATCATTTATTCAAAATGAATAATGTTTAAAATCATTTTTCCACTTTTCTACACAACCTGGTTATAACTGCAGCCCAACTTCTACTCCTCTTGCTATCACTTTTGTCTTTCAAATGGTATATACTTTTGATGTGGATCATCTATAATAATAAAAGCATAATATGCTAATTAGACCAGACAGCTTAATGACCTTCCAGATGTCCTTCCGGATAACCTCCCGGACGAAGCTGGGGCTGCGGGGGCTGAGGCAAGCCACCAGAGCTGTGAGGGCCGAGCCCCTTGCACGAATTTCGTGCATTGGGCCTCTAGTTTAAAAATAAACAAGGAACCCTAGCTGGTTTGGCTCAGTAGATAGAGTGCTGGCCCGTAGATTGAAGAGTCCCAGATTTGATTCCCAGTCAAGGGCACATACCTCAGTTGCAGGCTCAATCCCCGGCCGGCCCTGTGTGGGAGGCAACCATTTGATGGGCCCCTGGCTGATACCATAATCAGCAGATGTCCAAGTCTCTCTCATATCAATGTTTCTCTGTCTCCCCCTCTCCCTTCCATTCTCTTAAAAAAAAAACACAAAAAACAAAAACAAAAAAACAACAAGGAATCCAATTCAGATATATATTGATTTAGTTTAAAGAAATATTTCAAGCAAATGAAAGTTGATGGGTAATGTTTAATTTGGTAAAAAGGCTATATACAGTCAGCTTTCTGTATCTGTGTATTCAACTAACCGTGAACTGAAAATAATTGAAAAAAGTTACATCGTTGCTGACATGTACTTTGTTGCTAGGCCTACAATGATTTTGTCTGTACTGAACGTGAACATACTTTTTTACCCCTTGTCATTATTCCCTAAACAATACATTGTAACAACTATTTATATAGCATTTACATTGGATTAGGTATTATAAGTCATCTAGAGATGATTTAAAGTATATAGGAGGATGTGTGTAGGTTATATGCAAATATTACTCCATTTTATATGAGGAACTTGGACATCTGCTGATTATGTATCAGCTGGGGGTCGGGGGGTCCTAGAACCAATTCCCTGTTCATACTGAGGGACTATTACATATATATATGTGTATATGTGTGTGTATATATATATTTTAATGAAGGAGAAATAGCTCAACTACCTTTACTTTTAGAGAAATAAATATCCAATGTTAAAGAACCAAAAACTTAAAGTGTATCAAATATAAAAAACATCAAAGCTACTTATTTTGTCTAAATTTTCAGAGATATGGCCTTCTGCTTCTGGCCAAGACAGAATAAAGGAACTGAATTTACCCTCTAGCATGAAATTAAAACCTGGACAAAATATATGAAACAATGGTTTTCAAGAACACTGTACATTTGGCAAAAAAAGATTTGATAAAACATTTTATATGAAAAAAACTGATGATCACCTATAAGTGGCAAGATCTGAACTCTAGGAGTATCCCACTTACTGCCTTGGGAGAGATTACAAGCTGTAGAGTAAGTAGGAACCCAGGAGAAGCTCAGTAGACTCTCTGAGGTGAGGAAATGGAGCTGAGTCCAGAGAGACAAAGGCAACTAGAGTTCACATGAGAGAATACTAGAAAGGAGACAGCTGTATAGAGAGAGAACCCAGAAGATTGAAAGAAGGGTCCCCTTGAGTATTCAGCAGAGTACTGATAGCACATACAAATGAGGGAACTATAGAGGTCAGGGAAAGAACCAACTAAGAGGATTCCAGGAAAAAGTTTCCTTAGAGTACTTGATGTACATTACTTGAAGATATATGGTGATAAATTAAATGTGCATACTATAAACTTAAGTAGCCACTAAAATAACAATTATAACTAAAAAGCAAACAAAGGAGATAAAGAACAGAGAAGACAAAAGAATCTGAACTTGGATCAAACACATTTAAATAAGATCAAGAAATGAAACCATGTCAAGCAACTCAGTTATACTGTGAATAAAAGTAGTGCTATTTAGCAATAATTTGCCTTCACAGCAAATAAGAGAAAAACTGAAGAACAGATGTTGACAACATCAGTAATATCTTCAGCAGTAACAAAGGAAAAGTTCAAAACTCACATTATAAGTTAACTGAAGATTATATTTCTTAACAAAACTCACTATATTCTTAAATGTATATATAGCTCAATTATTGATTTCCTCTTCCATAAAACAGAGGCCAGAGAAGGGAGAGTGATAAAGAGAGGAAGATGAAAAGAGAAAGACAGGGAGGAAGGAGGAAAAAAAAAAAAAGAGGAGAAAGAGATCAATTGATTCCAGACTGGAGGATTTAATATAAACATATGCCTATCTCTAAGATTCATCATAGGGTAAATATATTAGACATAATCATATAAAATGCCCCATATTACTAAGATGACAGACGCTATTTTTTAATAAAATAAAGAACTTAAAAATCATTTAAAAATCTTCATTGGAATCTAGTATGTATGAGTGATCAGAATAATTAAGATGTGTTATTAAAGTATACAAGTTATATAGATACTGAAATCTGTTACATTGGGGGTTTGCAGCAAAAGTGACTATTAATTACCTTTATCAGTTAAAGACATTACCCTTTAAGATCAAGAGGCTTTACATCCATTCATTCTCCAAGTAAAAATAGTGGTAATAGCCTAATTAACCTTTATCCCTTTGAAGTTCATCCTTGGAGACAGCATCAGCACAGGCATCAAAGTACTTCTGTAGAGTATCAACTTGTCTACATAGGATATCTCTAAAGGTTTCCATTTCAGCCAATTTCTCACGTAAACTGTGGCCTTTCTGCAAAACACAAAAAAGGGGGTGGAGGATGTAATCTAAATGAACAAAACTGTAATTTATTTAGTCCTATTGTGTTTCATCACTTTTTAAGGTCTATATCTTACTAATGAGGGCCATCGGGTAGGGAGAGCTGTCAAGCTCAATGTAATACTCCTAGGAATTAACTTGAAACTGATTAACAGTGACCAGATAGTGATAAGCCTGAAGGAAATAAGGGACAAATAAGCCTGACAATTTGCTCATGTAAAATTTAATATTTTCAAATGATTGACATTGTGAGAAAAAAATTGTCAAAGTTTTCTATATACACAATGGAATACTATGCTGCTGTAAAAAAGAAGGAATTCTTACCATTTGCAACAGCATGGATGGAACTGGAGAGCATTATGCTAAGTGAAATAAGCCAGTCAATGAAAGAAAAATACCACATGATCTCACTCATTTATGGATAATAAAGACCATTATAAACTGATGAACAAAAAGAGATACAGAGGCAGAGCAGCATCAAACAGACTGTCAAACTACAGTGGGAAGGCAGCATAACCAATGGACATAAGACACTGGGGGGTAGGGGAGGCCAGGGGATTGTCAAGGGGTGGGAAAAGAGGAGACAGATGTAATACTCTTTGTAATACTTTAAGCAATAAAAATAAAAATAAAAAATAAAAAAATAATTGTCAAAGACTTTAAAATGGGAAAAAATATTACTGGATATCCTTTCAAAGGAATGGTGTGTGCTATTGATGGGACCTTTAGCATTTATGGAATGTCTAATCATATAGAAGTCTTTGATTTCATTACATTTGGCCTATTTTATAATTCTTTAAGTAGTAGAAAAATAAGAGTAATGTAAATGATTTTTGGCCAGATATGCAAATGAACCTTGATTAGTGGAGATACACTAGTTTCTAATCTGTGGATACCGAACAGTTTTGCATATATTAGCAAAATCATTTTGGCATTCTTCAGATTCTCCTTTGAACCAATTTATTTTTACGTCTTATCTATTAACAAAAAAATCTTTGATGTGTTCATTTTCTATTTGTCATAAATGTTAACCCTTAAAAAATTATTCTGAACTTAAATTACATTGTAGAGAAGTTCTTTTGAAAAAACTATTAAATAAGTTCTGTTCACAACATTCAGTAATAAATTCAATTTATGAGGCCTTAACTTAAAGCATTCACAACCACAAACCTTGAATGAAGAGGTGGATGTTGCAGAATAGCCACTTGCTCCAGACACCAGTGACACCATTGAACCATGTCGACGCAAGCTGGATTCAGATCCATAACCAGATTCAGTCTAAAAAAGAAAGTAAACTACATGAAAAAAAAAATTAAATAAAAATTACTTAATCATCACAAGAAAAAAATTGTAACTGTGTGAGATGATAGATGTTTAACTTATTGTAATCCCTTCACTATATATGTGTGCTTGTTGTACACCTTGCTGACATATATAAATGCTACAGTCATTATGTTGTACACCTTAAATTGCTACTAGGTTATGTTAATTGTACCTCAATAAAACTGGAAAAATACTTAAGAATAAACAAGAGTTTTCCTATAAATTAATAAGGCTGTTATAAAAATTGGATAGGATAAAGGCAAAAAGTAAAAATAATAGGAGATGGGCTAAGATGTCTTGAACCACTTTTAATTCTTTTTGTAGCACAAAGAAATAAACAGTAAATTTTTAAAAAAGTAAAAATGAGGAAAACTTCCAGTACTATTTCTTTATAGTACTATTTCCAGTACTATCACTTATCACTGTCTCGATGAAACCTCTCCTATTACATTAGGCAGTTTCTCTGTATTCTCAACCACTCCTCACATAACACAATTATAGCATTTACCGTATACTTGGTTATATTTAGATTTTATAATTACTATGGAACTTGGTTCTTCTGGAAGAAGACTGTATCTTTTTCATCTTTGTAGCCACCTCAATAGTTCATGTCACACAAAAAATTCTCAACTTTATCAGTCTGTTATGAAAAATAATTGAACTCCAGGATATTGGGGTATACTTAGACTTAGCACTGTAATAATCCTATATAATAAAAGCTGAATATGCAAATTGTCCCCTTGGGTGGGAGTTCGACTGACCGGGAGTTCGACCGCTCGCTATGACGTGCACTGACCACCAGGGGAGGGCGCGAAATATGGTGGGCATTGACGACGACACTGGCAGTGGCGGCACTAGAGGTGCTGCAAGCCCTGATGGGTCTGATGAGAGCGGGACCACAGTGGGATGGTGGAGCAGGTGAGCGGGCAGTGCCGGGCCAAGGCGGGTGTGAGTGGGGGCCCAATTGCCCTGCAGACGGCAACCAATGGCAGCAGCAGGGGGCAGGGCCGCCACCCGGCTCCCAGGCATTGAGGGAGCTGGGCGGCGGGCCTGGCCCTGATAGATCGCCGCATAGACAGTGACCAGTGTCGGTGGCGGGGCTAGGGCCAGGCCAACACAGAGTGGAGGCCCCGATCGGCAGGGGATGGGATGAGCGGGAGGCGCCAGGCCAAGGCTGGGTGCCAGGCGTGGCTGTGAGGCTGGGGGAGCAAGCTAGGGCCTGATCTCCACAGACCACCCCAAGGGACCCCACCTGTGCACGAATTTCGTACACCGGGCCTCTAGTACTTTTATATAATTCTGATGTAGTTGTACTCTTCAGAGCATCAACTTTATATTCACCCTCCCTATGACAAATGCAGTACCAATAAAATAGACAAAGGAATTGTACATTAAAAAAAAAACTTTCCAAGTACAGTTAACCCTCAATTTTTTGGACAATTTAATGGACATTGGATCTAACAGTCACATTCTGGTCTGTATGTCATACGTGAAAATTAACACCCTATTAATTTTAAAATTCTTTTAACCAAGATTTGCTTATAATTAACAGGTTATTTTTTTGTTATTAATTCACTGTCATTTTAAAAAAAATATATATTTTTATTGATTTCAGAGAGGAAGGGAGAGGGAGAGAGAGAACAGAAACATCAATGATGAGAAAGAAGCACTGGTTGGCTGCCTCCTGCACGCCCCACACGGAGGATGGAGCCAGCAACCTGGGCATGTGCCCTGACCAGGAATCAAACCGTGACCTCTTGGTTCATAGGTCAACTCTCAATCACTGAGCCACACCACCAGGCCTCACTGTCATTTTTAAAAAAATAAATTTTATTAATTTCAGAGAGGAAGGGAGAGGGAGATAGAAACATCAATGATGAGAGAGAATCATTGATCGGCTGCCCCCACCCTGGGAATGGAACCAGCAACCCGGGCATGTGCCCTGACCAGGAATCAAACAGTGACCTACTGGTTCATAAGTTGACGCTCAACCACTGAGCCACTCCTGCCAAACTCACTGTCATTTTTAACAAATTTTAGAGAATAGACCATATGTTGGAAAAAACACTGTAGTAATTTTGCTGACATATATAAATATTACATATCTACAACTATAGTATATATATTTAAATCCAAGAGTCACTACTTGCAAACAATGTTCGGTCAATGATAAGCAGGTGATCACAGTGCATCGCACACAGTAATTGGTTCTGCTGTTGCATGGTGTAACTTTCTGCAGCAGTTTTAACTTGCATGCCGGCCAAGTTCCTACGTGCCCTAAGCCACGGCCCAGCCATGTGGCATTTATTTACTCGAGTTGACTGATGACTGCACAAATGTACTAGACCTATTCAGTATAAATTTAAAATTATAGTATTACATATAGAAAACTTTTCATACATTTTAATTACACAAACATGTCTACGTAAGTAAAAATAGGTAAACTAATTTGTCAATTTTTTATCATACACATTTGGAAAACCTCCTTTATTATATAATGGACTTTCGGCTTTAATGGACAGCCCCTCGCCCGAATTATTATATCGTGATTTTACTGTACTTGAAACATGTTCAAGTATTTTAGATTTCTGATTACTTCCTACTGCTATTTTTTAAAGTACTGTGCATGACGTTAGCCCTAGTCTCTAAATTTAAGAGGTAAAATAACATCTAATTATTCTTGGCATACACATAATAAAACTCAATCATCCCATTAAAATAGTAGTTGTTTAGATTACTTGATTTTCAAGATTAAGATTATGAATCATTAAAATTAAGTACAATATATTGTAGAAAGTATTTCCATTGACATTTTACATCCTCTGTGCTCTCGTTCCTAAAAATCCATTACATTTCCTATATAGCTGTTGGCTTAGCCCTGACATTATTCTAACTCAGTGATGGCGAACCTATGACACGCGTGTCAGAGGTGACATGCGAACTCATTTTTTTGGTTGATTTTTCTTTGTTAAATGGCATTTAAATATATAAAATAAATATCAAAAATATAAGTCTTTGTTTTACTATGGTTGCAAATATCAAAAAATTTCTATATGTGACATGGCACCAGAGTTAAGTTAGGGTTTTTCAAAATGCTGACACGCCGAGCTTAAAAGGTTCGCCATCACTGTTTAAACTGGACAATGTTTTTCTAGGTACAGAATATCAAGCTTTTATACTGATTTAACTAATAAATAAAATTATATTATTTTTATGTAAATAATATTAACACTAGTTTAATACACTTTTCCAGTTCAGTATCACTTCATTAGTTAAAGTTTATATTCTAGGAAGGAGGAGGAGGAGAAGGGAGTTAGAGGGAGAAAGGAGCTAAGAAATTCATAACCAAAATAACAAAACAACTCATTAAAAAATATATCTTCAGGCAAAGACATTAGAAATTTATCCATGTGAAAAAAGCAGCCTCTTAAAATTCAAACTTTCAGCATATACAAGTCACCAAACACCAAACAAAGTGATGTCATACTTTTAATGATGCTTGTTTATAAAACACTATATTTATAAAAGTTACTTAACTCAGAATTTACTAAAAAGTTACATATTAAGACTAGATGGATTCAAACCTCTTCTCCAAGCCTTACATCACTATACACCACTCCACATCTCAAAGCAAAGCAATGTCTTAGTGATGAGGCCAAATAAATATTTTGGTATCAGGAAAACTATTAATGAAAGAATAAACCACTTTATTGTATGTGCATTATACCTCAAGAAAATTGTTTTGTTTTGTTTTTTAAAGGTAAATCTATTCTATGACAAAAGAAAGCTGGTCAGGGTGCAGTAGGGGCATTGCTACAAAGAGGTACAAAAAATTGGAGTGTGTGTGTAGGTTACAACGGTCAAAACTCAATTGTCCAATTAAAATAGATACATTTTAAGAATGTTGAATAGTATCTCAACAAAGTAGATTAAAAAAAATGGTAAGCTTGTTTCAATATAACAGAATCCACAAAAAGATCATCCTATCCTATCTAATAATAGAGAAACATGGTAATTAGCCATACCTCTGCTACCCTTCCCATTGGCTAATCAGGGCGATATGCAAATTAACTGCCAACCAAGATGGCGGTCGACAGCCAGGCAGCTGGAAGCTAACAGGAGGCTTGCTTGCTTCAGTGACGGAGGAAGCCAACGTTCCCCG